GCCTCAGCCTCAGCCTGCTTCAGCCTCAGCCTCAGCCTCAGCCTCAGCTGCCAGTCGGCCTCAGCCTCAGCCTCAGCCTCAGCCTCAGCCTCAGCCTCAGCCTGCATCAGCCTCAGCCTCAGCCTCAGCCTGCCTCAGCATCAGCCTGCCTCAGCCTCAGCCTCAGCCTGCCTCAGCCTCAGCCTCAGCCTGCTTCAGCCTCAGCCTCAGTCTCACCTCAGCCTCGGCCTCAGCCTCAGCCTGCCTCAGCCTCAGCCTCAGCATCAGCCTCAGCCTCAGCCTCAGCCTCAGCCTCAGCCTCAGCCTCAGCCTGCCTCAGCAGCCTCAGCCTCAGCCTCAGCCTCAGCCTCAGCCTGCCTCAGCCTCAGCCTCAGCCTGCTTCAGCCTCAGCCTCAGTCTACCTTCAGCCTCGGCATCAGCCTCCGCCTGCCTCAGCCTCACCCTGCATCAGCCTCAGCCTCAGCCTCAGCCCGTCTCAGCATCACCTGCCTCAGCCTCAGCCTCAGCCTCAGCCTGCCTCAGCCTCAGCCTCAGCCTGCTTCAGCTCAGCCTCAGCCTCAGCCTCAGCCTCAGCCTTCAGCCTGCCTCAGCCTCAGTCAGCCTGCCTCAGCCTCAGCCTCGGCCTCAGCCTCAGCCTGCCAGCCTGCCTCAGCCTCAGCCTCAGCCTCAGCCTCAGCCTCAGCCTCAGCCTCTCAGCCTCAGCCTCAGCCTGCTTCAGCCTCAGCCTCAGTCTGCCTTCAGCCTCGGCCTCAGCCTCGCCTCAGCCTCAGCCTCAGCCTGCCTCAGCCTCAGCCTCAGCCTCAGCCTCAGCCTCAGCCTGCCTCAGCCTCAGCCTCAGCCTGCTTCAGCCTCAGCCTCAGCCTCAGCCTCGCCTCAGCCTCAGCCTCAGCCTCAGCCTGCCTCAGCCTCAGCCTGCCTCAGCCTCAGCCTCAGCCTGCCTCAGCCTCAGCCTCAGTCTGCCTTCAGCCTCGGCCTCAGCCTCAGCCTGCCTCAGCCTCAGCCTGCAGCCTCAGCCTCAGCCTGCCTCAGCATTCAAAATGTGGCCCGGGAATGGAGTTCTGGGAACTCGAAGACACGAAGTGGCCTACAGTTGGCTCCGGGCATTCAAAATGTGGCCCGGGAATGGAGTTCTGGGAACTCGAAGAGCACGAAGTGGCCTACAGTTGGCTCCGGGCATTCAAAATGTGGCCCGGGAATGGAGTTCTGGGAACTCGAAGAGCACGAAGTGGCCTACAGTTGGCTCCGGGCATTCAAAATGTGGCCCGGGAATGGAGTTCTGGGAAGTCGAAGAGCACGAAGTGGCCTACAGTTGGCTCCGGGCATTCAAAATGTGGCCCAGCAGTGGAGTTCTGGGACCTCGAAGACCACGAAGTGTGTAACTGTTTGCTTAAAACGACTTCCGCGGGTTCTCCCCGGTACCCGCCCAGACCCCCCTGGGGAGTCAAGATGCTCTCTGTTGACACTACTAGAAGCATATCAGTCTTCGATGTTAGGTAAATACGAACAAATAAATATATCCCCCATATTTTCATATATTTTCTGGGTTTCTGTCTTCCCCCCCACTTCCTATATTTTCCCATATTTCCTAGGAATCGAAGATGAATTGTGTCTGTGTTTCTCTCCCTCCTGAGTGTTTCCCCCCCCCCCCCGTCCTCCGCGCCTCGCAGGAAGCCGTCAGATATCTCGGCGCCCTCCCGCCCCCGTCGCTGGCCCTCCGCCGGCGGTGCTCTGCGCCCCAATCTTGGTCTCGCCATCGCTCGGACGTCCATTCCCTGTGCTTTTTTCGGTTCCGTGCGTGGTTTTTTGGCAAATGGTCAAGGATGCTCCTCGATGGTCCTCGCCGAGGAAAAAACGCACACGTCCGAGCGATGCCAGGTGGTGTCGTCCTCTCAGCTTCCTGCCATGTCACATGCCAATTTCTCCGCGCAGCCGTTTGCTGCTATTCACGGTCAGCCCCCCTCTGGCATTGCCTTCGCGGGCTGATCGGGCAACCGGCAGGACTGAAGGTCTCCGTGCTTGCCTTTTCGTTGGTGTTGCTTTCTCGGGTTGGGCGAAAGGGGGGGATAGCAAAGGGGGGGTTTGAGAATCAGCTCACCGAGCTGATTTTCCCAGCGCCTCCCGGCGCCGGGAGGCGCCCATGTATCGAGGAATGGGCCCCTCGGTGAGGCCGAAACCAGCTGCATGTAGCAAATTTCGTAACCCCCCCTTTCCCAATCCCCCCCTTCCCCCCGGCCCGACTTTCCCCCCCCCCCTGGGCTCTGCCCGGCTGCCTTCGGGCTGCCTTCCCCCCCAACTGCTGCCTGGCGCCGCGGCTGGCTCCCCCCCCCCCGGAGTCGGCCCCGCCGCCGCCGGGACTTGCCTGCACGGGACCCGGGCTTCCCCCGCGTCCCGCCGGCGCCGGGCTGCCTTCCTCTTCCCCCGAACACCGCGGCCCACTTTGCATCTAGCGCGCCCCACGGATGCTCAATCGCCGGAGCAGTAACCTCTGCCCAGCCGCCGACGCAAAAAGTGGGTGTGCGCGTATTCGTGTGATCTGAAAAGCATGTTGCATTGCTATGTAGTTGGGTATGGTAACAATTTGTCTGATCTTCGTGTGTTCAAGTTCGTGTTGCATTCTCGTTACTTTGAATGACACTGGCACGCATCATGCGAGCATGGTCTTAGGTGTGAATGTCGCAAATCGAATGTTTTGTGCTATCTTGGCTGTACGCCCAGCTCACGTATGTTGCGTGTCCTCGTTATGTATGTTTACGTATGTCTGACATGCAGCGTGTGGCCTCTAAGACGTACGTGTCGTATGCATCAAGCTGGTGTATGTGTGTTTGTGTGTGCGCGTGTGTGTGTGTGTGATGTCGGCCACCTGGGTATTTCGTATGTGCTCGCAATGAAAGTGTGGTAAGGGTGTAAGTGATGCGTCGACGGTTCCCGTACGCGAATAGTTACGGAAATTTGCATGCGGTTGCGCAAGGTTCGTATGCGACCACTTACGCTTGCCCATGACGCATGCCAAGTGTGTGCTCTAAGCGCGTGTGTTCCTCTCTGCATCTGTTGTGATTGCTGGTGATCCCCAGCCAGCAGTGCCTGCGCGTGGGGGTTCTTACTTGGCTCGCCAAAACGAGAAGGACGGTTCCACGAAGAAGTCTCCACGTTCCCGCCCGTGCCCTGCGTGGGCGCGCCGAAGTGGCGCTCGATGCCCGCCCGTGGTCGCCACGCGGGCGCTCGTAGGCGCCCCGTGTGCGTCCCCGAGGCTTCGCCAGGTGCTCGCCCGTGGGGGCTGTTGAGGGCGCTCGAGGCCGTCCCGTGCACCCCGTGTTCGCCCCGTGCCCCGGGTGGGCACCGTGGCTTCACGGCACGGCTCACGCCACATAGCCGACGCACGCCGCACAGCGCACACGACCTAGCTCACAGCATGCAGATCACATCGGAGAGCAGGCACTGCACAGCTTGCACTACACAGCTTGCACAACATAGCCTACACAACATAGCTCCCACGGCCGAATTGACGCTCACAGCGATATCACCACACAGCTTACTTTGCATAGCGTTCACACTGCAATGCAATAACCAACAAGTTGAGGCCCTCGCTGACCAACGTGTTCCCCAGGCGTATTTCTCATGTGTGATGGCCTTGTGTTAACCATGGGTGCCTGTGCCTTATATGATGGGTTACCTTTTTTATGTGCTCAACCTGCATGTTCTCAATGTGCGCTCTAACGCATGCTAGCTTATGGGTCATGGCCGCTGATCGTGTCTGAGTGTGGTGCATGCCGCTCGTGCGTGTTACGTATGTATATGCTGCGCGTGTGTCCTCCATTGGATACTGTGTCATCGGATGTGTCGTCATCTGTCGCGAACGCGATGCGGGATACTGGGGTTCAGTCGGGCCTGTCCCCCTACGGGGGATTTTCGACGAAACATAAAAATACTCAAAAATACACCAAAATTATCAACACACATACTAGATAATAGTCCGCATACTATGTTTTACTATGTTTGAATATTCCTCCTGTAGAGGGACGTGCCCGACTTAGTCCTAAAGGATCAATCAACATCGAATCGACAACTTTGATCGCATCGGAGTGTGCTTCGGATCGGACTGCCTCGGCAACGAAGCCAAAACGAAATGGATCGGCTGGGCCAAGATGCGCAACAACGCGATGCAAACGCCGGCCTGCATCGGACGGTCGGAATGTCTCGGATTCGGATCACGCTGGCCCGAGTGGATATCGGATCGATTAGATTGACATGGGCCCTGGCGAGGGAGGGAGGGAAGGATGTTTCAAATCTACCCTACGGCCTGTCCGGGAGGGCGTGCTGGCCAGGATCTCGAGGCGGATCAAAGCAAGGGGACCCGGAGGAGGAGGAGGAGGGGGAGGAGGAGGAGGCGGAGGAGGAGGGGGAGGGGGAGGAGGGGGAGGCTCTCTCAAACCCGTCCCTGCCCCTACTCCGCTCCTGCCGGCTTCTCCTCATGGTGCTGCTCCTCGTGCCGCCTCGTCCTTTTTGCAGCAACGCCCGTGCCGTGCCTGGCTGCACCGGGAACGCTAGGGAGGCAATCATGGAATGACCTCAGGAATGACCAGCCCCTTCCGAGCCCGAACTGCTCCATATTTGAACGTCTTGACTGTGTGCGGCCCGCCCCCACTCAGGTCAGCGCCGATTGATATGTCCTGTCAAAATCAGTCTCCAGGCCCCTCCCAGACACCGTCCTGACCAACGTTCGAGCTGTGTCCAACTGTGGCTACGAGGAGCCCACCCCCCCGGCAGGCCCAGCAAAAATGCGAAGACCTCAATATGTTCCTCCTCCATCCTCCTCCCTCATCCTCCGACGGCAACGACGAGGCCGCCGATGACGACGAAGATCACGGCGACGACAACCGGGACGACGACGGCGACCGCCACGACGACGGTGACGAAGACCACGACCAAGAGAACCGCCGAGGGCGGCCGCGGCGCGCGCGAGGGAGCTGAACCAGCCGGAGCCGCGCGTGCCGGGGGGGGGCCTCTCGCGGCCTGCTCATCCAGCTCCTGGAGATGCTGCTTCACCTCCCGGGGAGGACCCCCGCCGCAGTCCGCCGCCGCAGTCCGCCGACGTCGCCGCCGCCGCCGCCTGGGGCGCCTTGGATTCGTCGCTGTCGCCGTTGGTCGTCGTCGAGGAGCCGCGGATCGGGCAGGGAGGAGGCGGCGGGGGGAAGGGGGAGTACGGGAGGAGGGGGAGAAAGAGGGAGGAAGAGGAGGAGAGAGGGAGGAAGAGGGGGAGGGGGGTGGACGCTCGACCAAAGACTTGATTTTGTTCACAGTGGTTGGCCTTCCGGAGCTCTTCGGGTAGCGTCGGTGTGCCGTTGTGGGGCGGCGGCGGTGGGGGCGGCGACGTCGGCGGTGGAGCTGGTGGCGACGGCAAGGGACAGAAGCGGTCCCTCCTCATCCTCCTCCTGATCCTCCTCCACTCATCGACCACCCGAACAGCCCCTCATGTTATTGTTTATCCCACCGCCGTTTTCCTCCTGAGAGTCCTTTTTCTCTTTCTCCTCTGACTGATCGTCTTTGTCCTTCTCCTCGCCCTCCTCGTCACTCCACCTACCTTTCATTCAGAAGTGGTGTGGGGAAGTGCACCTCACCAGCAAGGGAAGCAAGCGCACTTCACCTCCAGGAGAAGTGCATTTCCCGTAGAAGTGAAGTGCACTTCCCCTCCCACAGAAGGGCACGTTCAACACAAGAGAAATACAATTCCCCTTCTCCTACAGGCGGTCTGATCCTGTGCCATACCCTGGCGGTGGCAAGACATCGGGACAACAACTGTCGGGACATCCGTGCGCAACCCAAAGCAAATACAAGTACGCCCACAAAAACTGATGCACACGCGCGCGCCTGCGCACGGCGCGCGCGTGTCTGTGCGTGTGCGTGTGTGTGTGTGTGTTTGTGTTTGGCTGCGTGTGCGAGTTGAGAGAACGCCTACTTCAGTAGCATCTGAATCGCTGTAGTCACCCCTCCATGGTAAATGATTCGGCCACTACGGCATGCGAAAACATGATATACATTGAAACGTGTTCAAAGCACTGCGAACCACGTGCGCAATACGCTGGTGACAACAAGGCGTATGCGTGCGGGCGAATGAGATCGTGTGTATGCTCACGAAGTGTACGAATAGCGATTTGCTGTACCACGTCACGACTGTTCCTGTCGATGCAACGTCACTTGCACATTCGCTACCGTACACGGGCAATGTGCACAATAATGCACGAGTCAGTGGACACGTCCCGACCAATTGAGCACGCAGGCACGGCTCAAAGCCCGACTCAGCCTGCAAGCGTGCACCTGCAACGAAGCATGCGCGTTAACTCTAGCAAGCGCGCATAGTATGCTGTGCAAATGCCCCTGCGGGCCGCGAGGAAGCATTAGTGTGCATGTGACACACCGTGCTGTGGCATGCAACTCCACTGCCAGAAGGAACGCATAACGAGGAGCATGTCAGGTGGATTCGCAACAAGCAAGTACGCAACATGTGCAATCATGACGTGGTTTGCTGACTCGTATACATTATACACGCCCTCTTCCTCCTTATCTTTATCCATGTCCTCATCCTCCTCCCTCCACCTGCACGCGGTGCTACCACTGCGCCTGCATGCGCACGTGCGCCCTGCTTCCCCTGTTGAGCCGCATCGCCGATGCATCGGCGATGTGGCGCGATACACAGACCACATCTATGTCGAACCTATTAGGACGGCACAGATTTTTCAAGACGTGCTCGGACAATGCGATGTACTGATGAAGAGGTCGGTGCTAAACGTTTGCACCACCTGCACGCCGTACGCCCGAGGCCTGATTTGTCATGCACATCCAACGCTCGGGGAAGCAGCATCCCAAGAACCCAAGAGAAACTTATGATTGCGGACACACGTGGGCCACCAGGCGCCCCAGAACATCTGCATCCACGGCCTCCTCACGGTCCTGGGACTTCGATCCCCAGGCGATGGAAATGATCGGAAGAGGGCCAGTTGAGACAAAAGCGTCTCTCGCATCCCGCCCCAAGTCCGCTCAAAGCTGGTCCTGAGACCCCTCTTGGGGTCCAGCCTGACCCGTTTTTCGTGATGGATTCAGTCGTGGCGACGAGGAACTACTGGGATGGCCAAGAGGACGTCAAACGCCAAGAAAGGCCAACGTTGTTTCGATTGGGCCTCCTCCGACAGGAGACTTGGAATATTCGAAAGAGCATGTCCTGCCGCTGCTGGCAGAACACTGGGAGGGGTCACTGGGGGTTTCCAAGCCGTCCCTCCCCACCCCTCGAAAACTGGAAGGGGTCACTGGGGGTTCCAGACCCCCCCCCCCCCCGTCTATCATGAAAAAGGGGAGGGGGGATCACTACGGGTTCGAACCCCGTTCCCCCCCCCGCTCCCTCGCCGCTGGCAAACGACTCCCCCTCCTCCCGAACTCTGGACAATGAGTCAGTGGTGGGGACAGTGGGGACAGTGGGACTGTGGTGGGGACAGTGAGACAATTCTGGCGGCAGTGCGGACAGGAGGAAGTGGGACCGTGGTGGGGACAGTGGGGACAGTGCGACAGTGGTGGGGGCACTGGTGGGGACAGTGGGGGCAGTGGTGGGGACAGCGGGGACAATGGGGAGAGCGGGACCGTGGTGAGGACAGTGGTGGGGACAGTGGGGACAGTGCGACAGTCTGGTGGGGACAGTGGGGATAGTGGTGGGAACAGTGGGGGCAGTGGGACGGTGGTTGGGGACGGTGGTGGTGGGAAACATGGTGAGGGCGGTGGCGACGACAGTTATGGGGGCCTCGGAGTCGTTTGCCGGCGGCGAGTAGTGGGGGGGAAGAAGGTTCGAACGAACCAATAATGACCCCCCCCGGTTTCCCGAGGGGAGGGTGTGTTCGAACCGGTAGAGACCCCCCCCCGGTTTTCCGGAGGGGGGGGGGAGGGGGGGGGGGCCAGGGGATGGGGGGGGGGAAGGGGTTCGAGCAGGGGAGCATGAGAGGGGGGGGGGGGCCAGGGGATGGGGGGGGGGGGGGGAGGGAGGGGGGGGGGGGGGGTGGGCCAGGGGATGGGGGGGGGGGAAGGGAGGGGGGGGGGGGGGGCCAGGGGATGGGGCGGGGAAGGGGTTCGAGCAGGGGAGCATGAGAGGGGGCGGGATTTTCAGGAGGGCGGGGGACCCCCGGGTTCCGGAGGAAGAGGGGGGGGGAACTTTCCACAGCAGAGCGGCGGTGGATCACGATCCCTCGAGCAAGTACTCCGACCCAGCAGCCTGGAGGGCCTCGACCATATTTCCCTGGGGACTTTCGCGCGGCCCGGATCCACCTGCGATGGTCCTGGGGCCCGATAACCGGCCCCTGAGGCCGAAGTCCAGGAACACCGCTGGGACTGAAACCATCGGATTGCCTGGGAGCTGGGGGTGTCGGGCTCCTGCTCCTGCGCGCACGCCCACCGGCACGCATATAGGAGTAGATGGGGCCGGAGGATCGCGCCGCATCGCAGATGCATCGCCGATGCATCGCGCCGATGCGTCGGCGATGCATGGGCGATGCATCGGTGACGTCGGCGATGCATCGGCGACGTCGGCGTGGGGAAAATCGGCCCCCGCATCGAACCGCATCGCATCGCCGATGCATCGGCCATGCGGCGCAATCTTCCGACCACATCTACTCCGACCCCATCCGGGCGTTGGCAAGACAGGGTTTAGGGGGACCTGGTTCACTGAGGTGTACCGAGGGACGCCCCCCGCCGCCCGCCCCATTCCACTGACCCGAAAAACACCAGCTGCGGGAGACCCGCGGTTTCGTGATTGCAGTTGATATGTTTTGGACTTCGATGCCCGATCATCAACCAACTCCCCTCAACCGGGGTCTTGGCTTTAGGTCGGGCCTGTCCCCCTACATGCGGATTTGGACGAAGCTTTAAACATAGTTTTTCATGTTCAAACATGTTCAAAAAAACAATCCCCTGCCCATTTTTTGACTATGTTTGAGTATTCCTCCTGTAGACGGACGGGCCCGACTTAATCCTGGCTATACCCGACCCATCTGGGAGGCCTGGGGCGCAGGCACCACTCACTGTGAAGGGGCCCTGGGACACACAAATAGATACACACACAAACAAAAGCATCCCCCATATTTTCCCATATTTTCAGGGCTCTGGTCTTCCCCCCCCCCACTTCCCATATTTTCTCAGATTTCCTTGGGAATCGGCGATGCATTGTGTCTGTGTGTTTCTTCCCCTCCTGATCACTGGGCTCCACCGAGGAGGAGGAGGAGGAGGAGGAGGAGGAGGAGGAGGAGGAGGAGGAGGAGGAGGAGGAGGAGGCGCGGCGGCGAGCCCGCGGGCGGCCGACCTCGGCGGCGTACCTGCCGAACAGCCCGCCGCGGCCAGACTCGCTCACGGCGTTCGACAGCGTGTTCTCGCCGCGCGCGGGGCGGGGGCCCGCTTCTCTCGGGTCGGGCGAAACGGGGGGGATAGCAAAGGGGGGGGTTGAGAATCAGCTCACGTAGTAGCTGATTTTCCCGGCGCCTCCCGGCGCCGGGAGGCGCCCATGTATCGAGGAAGGGGCCCCTCGGTGGGGCCGAAACCAGCTGCATGCAGCAAATTTCGTAACCCCCCCTTTCCCAATCCCCCCCTTTCGCCCGGCCCGATTCTCTTTGGCTGAGCTGGGACCGACCGTCCCGGCATTCCTATAGTCTTACCACGAAATATTCTCAGGACCCAAAAATGCTCTCAGAACAAAAACAAGGTCCTTAGAACGTGGACCCCACGAGTTAAAAGAAGACAATCTCCGCCAGAGATGTTCTAAGAACAGTCCCTGGAAACCACAACAGCTTCTTAGAACATTGCTGGGTGGGGCTCCAGGCGAGCCAGGACGCTTCGCCACTGCTTGCTTTGGAGTCCCAGTGGCCCCGAACCCCCACCGACTCACCACACGGTGTGGTTTCACACGCAGGGAGCGACCCCCGGCAAGGGCGAAGGGAACCCCGCCCTCCCCTTCAGAAATCGTAGGGGGGTAGGGGCAGGGTTCGCGTGCGGCCCCCTAGGGGGCCCGCTTCTCCTTGGAGTCCCAGGGACCCCGAATCCCCACGGACTCTCACCACACGGTGTGGTTTCACGCGCAGGGAGCGACCCCCGGCAAGGGCGAAGGGAACGCCACCCTCCCCTTCAAGAATCGTGGGGGGTAGGGGCAGGGTTCGCGTGCGGCCACCTAGGGGGCCCGCTTCTCCTTGGAGTCCCAGTGGCCCCGAATCCCCACCGACTCACCACACGGTGTGGTTTTAAAACAGGGCTAGGGTCGGGATAAATCGCTCCAGAGCGTTCTGGAGCGCTCTCAGAGCGTTCCGGAACGCTCTGGAGCGGCCGCGGCGCCCAAGACATCCTCCAAACCCGCCGATTCTCAGAGATTTCGAGTTACCCCGATCCGATTTTGTCCCGATCTTCGCGTCGTTTTAGGTTTGACGCGCAGGGAGCGACCCCTGGCAGGAGCGACCTCTGGCGCCCGGGCTCCCGGGGAACTCACCGGGCCCCAGGTCCGGGCGCGCGGGCCAGCGCTGATTGTGGGGCCACCCCCCGGTGGGCCCCGCAGCAAAAGACACTCTGGAGCGCGTTGCCTCCTCCTCCTCCTCCTCCTCCTCCTGCCCCTCCTCCTACTCCTCCTCCTCCTCCTCCTCCCTCCTCTCCTCCTCCTCCTCTTTCCTGATGCTCTTTATTATTGGGGGGGGCCAGGGGGGATATAATGTAACGCCTCCCCCCCGCCGTGCGCACGGCAACAGTACCCGGAGCGCACTGGGGGGGAGGGGCGTTACGTTGTAGGGGGGGGGGGGGGCAGGGTTGCAAGGGGCTATAATGCCCACTATGCCCCAAACAATAAAAAAACGCTCCTGGCGGAAGGTCACTCTGACGCGGGGGCCGATCCTTGGAGGAAGATTGAGCAGGGACCGACGGCTTCGGCATCCCCGTAGGCCTACCACAACATGTGCTTAGAGCAGGACGAGATGTTCACAACACAAGGCATGTTATTATACTGTGCAAGCGATGCATTACATCAAGACTGCTTCAAACTGAAAGCTCACGATCAGATTCCGTGCGAACCACAACATGTTCCTAGAATACTCTTTCGTAGGCTGGTAGTCAGGTCGGGACGCTTCGCCACTGTGTGTAGAGGCCTCCTAGATGGGGTCGGAGTAGATGAGGCCCGAGGGTCGCGCCGCACCGCCGATCCATCGGCGATGCATCGGCGATGCACCGGCGATGCACCAGCGATGCATCGGCGATGTCGGCGATGCATCGGCGCCCCCGTCGCCATGGCGAACATCGGGCTCCGCATCGAGCCGCATCGCCGATGCATCGGCGATGCGGCGGGATCCTCCGACCCCATCTACTCGGGCAGCATCTGGGAGGGCAAGAGTTTGAGAGGAGGGCCCGTGGAGACAAGGGCAGCACCCCCTCGCGTTCTTCGTCCAACTGTTCGGCCCCTTGGACGCTTCTCGCCGCCACGGCTGGATCCGCGTCGGACAACTCGTCAGGATGACCACCAGGTGGGGTCTGTAGAGGCCTCCTAGATGGGGTCGGAGTAGAGGGGTCGGATGATCGCGCCACATCGCCAATACATCGGCGATGCATCGGCGATGTATCGACGATGCGATGGCCATGCAACGTCGACGTCGGCGATGCATCGTCGAGGTCGACGTGAAGCGAATCGGGCCGCACATCGAGCCGCATCGCCGATGCATCGGCGATGCGGCGCGATCCTCAGACCCAATCTACTCGGACAGCATCTGGGAGGCCAAGAACCCGGGGGTCCGATGATCAGGGGATCTGGGCCGGGCGGAGAAGTCGCCGTTGCCTCAACTCGCCCTCGTCCGAACTTCGGGACGATCGAGGGTTCAGGGAAGAGAGGGGCCCGTGTGGCTCTGCAATCGTCCCCGGCACGGCCGGCTCTGCAAGCCCAGGGCCACTCCCGGCGATGGCCCCTCTCCTCTTGGGGGCCGCTGCCACCTCCGCCAGCATCCGCCCCCGTTCTTCCCGAGCCTCCTGTGCTGTCGGGCCCTCGCTCTGAATCCGCAGCGCTGCGCGTGCCGCCCTCCCCCCTCCCACCTCCCCTCCCCTGCCCCCTCCCCCTGCTCCTCTTGCCCCCGCCCGCCCGCGCGCCCACGTCGGCGCACCCCTCCGGGGCGCCGCGCCGAGGGCCCCAGCGAGGGCGCCCGCACGCGTCCTCCCTGGGCCTCTCGGTGCACCCCTCGCACGCCGCGCCCCCACCCGGGGCCCCAGTACTTGCCGTCGCTCGGACGTCCGTGTTCCGTGCACGTTTCTGTCCCGTGCGTGCTTTTTGGGGCTCGATGGTCCAGGATGGTCCTCGCTGGTTCTCGCCGAGGCAAAGTGCCAGGAGAGCCCAGAATCGAATCGCTAAATCGGATCGGCAATCGACATGAATCGGATCGGCGAAAATCGGCGGCCACGTCGGGAAAAGTCGAACCGACGGAAATCGGGTGGCCAGTACGCCTCCAATGAGGAATCGGAGCCCAAATCGGAAGCCCAAGCCGAATCGAATCGGAATCGGAAGCCATCGACATCGAATCGAATCGAATCGGAGGAATCGAACTGAGCCCTGCGCTGGTTCTCGCCGAGGCAAAGTTCGGGGAGACGTAAGACCCGGGTACGGGGGACTCGGGTTGGCCCGACGAGGTCGTCAAAAAACGATGGCGAACCCGAGTCCTGGCAAACCCGGGTCTTACGCTCCCCCGAAAAGTGCACACGTCCGAGCGGCGCTAGGCCCCCGCCCCCTGGCGGCGCGAACCCTGGCACGCCTGCGTGCCACCAGGCGCGCCGCCTGCGGGCCCCACCGTGGCGCTCGTGTGCGGCCGGAGGGCGCCCCGCTCCCCACATTGCGTTGACCTGTCCCCTCCTCCTCCTCCTCCTCCTCCTCCTCCTCCCCCTTCCCCTCCTCCTCCTCCTCCCCCTTCCCCTCCTCCTCCTCCTCCTCCTCCCCCTTCCCCCCCTCCTCCTCCTCCCAGGGGAGCCCAAAGTCGAATCGATAAGTCGGATCGGCGATCGAAATAAGTCGGATCGGCAGAAATCGGCAGCCGAGTCGGGAAAAGTCGAATCGGCGGACATCGGCAGGCTCGTAGGCCTCCAATAAGGAATCGGAGCCCAAATCGGAAGCCCAAATCGAATCGAATCGGAATCGGAATCCATCGAAATCGAATCGAATCGAATCGGAGGTGTCGAAACGCGCCCTGCTATCCCGCTTCGGCGCGCCCACCACAGGTTTCGTGTCCCCACGGAGAGCTCCATCGACAACTTGTTGTTGATCTGCGGGGCGAGAGCGCACCTCTTCCGCGGAAAGCTGAGCGGGACGCGCACAGCTTCGAGCTCCATCGAAAACACCAATGAGGGCGTCCACGTGCGTCCGCATGCACGCTTCGGCGCAACCTTCACACTCTCCTGGTCCCCAATAGGGTGCTCCACCTGCAGCCCCAGGGAAGGCCTTCTCTGGCGTGCACCCGCCAATCTCGTCGCAGCCCTCGACAGATTCGTGACCCCATGAGGAGCTCCACCTAAGGCCTCAGCGACAGCGTTCCCATGCGCCACCCATGCATGTTTCGGCGCACACCTCGCGTGTCCCGGGACACCGTGCAAGGAGCTCCACTACAGCCCCAGTGAGGGCGTTCAAATTCAAGCCCCAGCCCATACCGGCGCACCCCTCACACGCATCGTGCCCCCATGGGGAGCTCCATCTACGGCCCCGGCGAAGGGAGTCACACGTCAATTCCAGGAAGACCCTCACACGCCTCGTGCCGCCACGCAGAGAGCTTTACTCAAGGTCCCAGCGAGAACGTTCACATGCGCCACCTGGTCTCCGTCACGCGGACCGTGCCCCCATAAGTAGGGGGAAAACAAACCTACCTCGCTTTTGACCACCCTCGCTTCCAAGAGATACCAAACGATGCCAAATTGCAGCCTGTACTGGTCAGGCCGCTTGACGAGGAGGCGCGTGGTACGGCTTGGTTTTGCCAGGAAGCGAAAGCGGGGTAGGTAATTCACGCTCTGAATAAGGACAAGAAGGAGCTCAAACTACCGCCCCCATGCGTGCGCTCGCGTGCGTCCCCCGCATGTGTCGAGGCACCCTTCGCACGCCTCGTTGCCCCCATGGGGGCTCCACATGTGCCGCCCTGCCCACGTCGACGCACCCCTCACGCGTTGCGTGCCCCCGCATGTGGATCTCCGCTTAATACCTGAGCGAATGCGTCCACGTGTGTCCCTCGCACGTGCGTGCGCACCCCATCACACGCTTCGTGCTCCCAGGAGAAGCTCCACCGACCGCCCCAGAGAGGGCGTTCACACGCGCCCCCCGCCCGTGTCGGCGCACCCCTCATACGTTGCGTGCCCCTACAGTGGGCTCCACCTAAGGTCCCA